TTGCATTGAAATAAATGCAGTTTATCAGTCCTACCTCATTCTCCTCTTTATTCCTGCCTGATGTGACTGTTTGACTTACTCCTTTTCTCAAGTGTACCAGACTCAGACCGATCTCTTTCCTCACTATCTCCCTGGGTCTCTCCGCGCCCCCCAGTCCTTATTAGTTTAAACCCTCCTGAGCAACTCTAGCAAACCTCCTCGCCAGTATATTAGTCCCCTTCCAATTCAGGTGCAATCGGTTCTTCTTATACAAGGTCACTTCTACCCCAGAAGAGATTCCAATGATCCAAAAATGTGAATCCTTCTCCCCTGCACCAGCTCCTCAGCTGCGCGTTCACCTGCTCTATCCTCCTATTCCTACCCTCACTAGGATGTGGCACCAGGAGTAAGCCAGATATTACTACCCCTGAGGACTTTTTAAATTCCTACCTAACTTCCTCAGAATTTTGTCCTTTTCTTTTCCTGTGTCATTAGTTCCAATGTGTACAATGACCTCCTGCTAGTCTCTCTCGCCTGTGAGAATATTCTGCACCCTCTCCGAGGTATCCCTAATTCCTAATCCCGGCTCCAGGGAGGCAACACACCATTCTGATGTCTCGCTGTCGACCACAGAAACATCTGTCTGTGCCTCTGACTAGACAGTCCCCTATCACAATCGATCGCTTATCGCCTCTAACTGCTGCTCTAACCGATCCAAGCAATCCGATAAGATTTGCAAACAAACAATTCCTGCAGACATCATCATCAGTAACATGGAAACTCTCCTAATTTCCCATATCCAACAGGAAGAGCACATCACTCTACTAAAGACCATCTTTGCATCTTAACAATCTACAGACCCAAAGAATAGCACAGTCTTACTGCTGTAAAAACACCACTCCAGGCTAGCATAGTACCTATGTTTTTTTTTTATTTTTCGAGTTTAATGAAGAGAAAGATTTCAATGAAAACATGTAACTAGAAAGAACCCATTCTACTCACTATTGTAGATTTACAGAACAAAAGTAAAGTTTACACTTTAAAACTAACCAGTTAACTGCTCCTCTATACAGATATTTGTCAACAACTCTGGAGCAGGTGGGACTTGAACCCAGGTCTTACAGCTCAGAGGTAAAGAAACTACCACTGCATGACAACAGTTCCAGTTCCCCAGGGCAGCACCCCAGGCTCAGACATCCCACCATGACCCTCCCTCTAACATAAGGTCAGAAGTAGGGGGTGTTTGCCGAGGACTGTATATTGTTCCGCTCCACTCCTCAAATACTGAATCAGTCCATGCCCAAATGCAGCAAGACCTGAGCATCGCGTTCAGTCCAGACCCAAGATTGCTCCAAACTTCCTCTTCAAGCTGCAGTATTAAGATGTAAATAGTACATTTGCATGTGCTCAAACTCAGCAACTGAAGGATGAACCAGATGAGCTTTTTCTGACATTCAGCAATTCCAGATTTTTACTAAATTCAAATTGCACCATTTGCCAATGGCAGGAGTTGAACCTGGGTCTACAGAACATTACCGGGATCTCGGGGTTAACAGTTCAGTGCTAAGATTACAAGGCCATCACCTCCTCTTAATCTCAGAATAAGAGGTTGCACATTTAAGAATGCAACAAAGAAGAATTTCTTCTCTCAGACGTTAGTGAACCTGTGGAATTCTTTAGCACACAGGGTTGTCAAAATTGGGTCAACAGGTATATTCAGGGAAGAGATATATTTTTAATCAATCGAGAATCAAGGGTAGGGGGAAAAAGGTGGGAAAGTGGAGTTGAAGATTATCAGATCGGCCATGATCTCATTGAATGGTGCAGCAGACTTGATCATCTTCTCCTCCTATGTCTTAAGGCAGTAATAGAACACAGAACATAGAACAGTATGGGACAGTACAGGCCATTCGGCCCACGATGTTGTGCCGACCTATTATCTTGCTCTAAGATCTAACTACCCTACATACCCTACATTTTACTATCATCAATGTTACCAGTTGTCCTGTCTGTACCAGAGAAATGGATAAAGTAAGCACACTCCTCAAATCCCTTGAGAGATATCACCAGTGATGTCTCTGCAAAATCTTGCTTGCGTGACAGAGTCTCCAATATCACTGTCCTCTCTCAGGCCAACACAGAGTCCTTAGTTATGGTCAAGCAGCTGTTTTTGGGTGGGACCGTACCATTCACATGTCTGGCACAAGGTGCGCAAAAACAGGGTCTCCCTACTCCAAGCTTCATCAAGTCAAGCTCTAGTTAGCAGGGTGTAGTTGAATTTGAATCATTTATTGTCACGTGTATTCAATATAAAATACAGTGAAGTAGGTGTACCGTTGCCATGCATAGGTGCTATTCTCATTGAGATTTTTTTATATTTTATTTTAAGTTAAAGAGAGTCAAACTTTTACTTTTCCACTGCTACAGTCCTACTCTAGGATACACCAGCCCACGCCATGCTGTGACCCAGAGTCCCTCTCCTGTCTACACCAGCTCACGCCATGCTGTGACCCAGAGTCGTGCTCCTGTCTACACCAGCCCACGCCATGCTGTGATCCAGAGTCCTACTCCTGTCTACACCAGCCCACGCCATGCTGTGATCCAGAGTCCATCTCCTGTCTACACCAGTCCACGCCATGCTGTGACCCAGAGTCCCTCTCCAGGCTACACCAGCCCACGCCGTGCTGTGACCCAGAGACCTACTCCAGGCTACACCAGCCCACGCCGTGCTGTGATCCAGAGTCCACCTCCTGTCTACACTAGCCCACGCCGTGCTGTGACCCAGAATCCTGCTCCTGTCTACACCAGCCCACGGCATGCTGTGACCCAGAGTCCTACTCCAGGCTACACCAGCCCAAGCCATGCTGTGATCCAGAGTCCACCTCCTGTCTACACTAGCCCACGCCATGCTGTGACCCAGAATCCCGCTCCTGTCTACACCAGCCCACGCCATGCTGTGACCCAGAGTCCCTCTCCAGGCTACACCAGCCCACGCCATGCTGTGACCCAGAGTCCTACTCCAGGCTACACCATGCTGTGACCCAGAGTCCATCTCCTGTCTACACCATCCCACGCCATGCTGTGACCCAGAGTCGTGCTCCAGGCTACACCAGCCCACACCATGCTGTGACCCAGAGTCCATCTCCAGGCTACACCGCCCTTTTACACACTGACACAGTGGCACACACACACACACACACACACACACAGCCCTTTTACACACTGACACAGTGGCTCGCACACAAACACACACACCGCCCTTTTACACACTGACACAGTGGCTCGCACACAAACACACACACACACACAGCCCTTTTACACAGTGATACAGTGACACACACACACACTGACACAGTGGTGCGCGTGTGCACACTCACACACACACAGTCCTTTTACACACTGACACAGTGGCGCGCGCGCACACACACACACACCCCGCCCTTTTACACACAGACACGATAGCTCTCTCACACTGCCCTTTTAGACACTGACACAGTTGCTCACACACACACACAGACACACACACAGACAGACTGCCCTTTTACACAGACACAATGGCTCACACACACACACACACACACACACACACAGACAGACTGCCCTTTTACACACTGACACAGTGGCTCACGCACACACAAACACACAGACACAGTGGCTCGCGCACACACACACACCTCCCGCCCTTTTACACACAGACACGATAGCTCTCTCACTCACACTGCCCTTTTAGACACTGGCACAGTGGCTCGCGTACACACAGCGCCCTTTTACACACTGACATGGTGGCTCACGCGCACACAGCGCCCTGTTATACACTGGCACAATGGCTTGCGCGCGCACACACACCCCCCACCCTTTCCCACACTGACACGGTTATTAAATTGTTTTTTCATTTTCCTTCCAAATAGTTTTCAACCCCCCACGCTGAGGATTCTCACAGGCAATGCTAATGTTTACTCTGAAGCAACAGTCTAATTAGGAATACAATCATCTTTGGATAAATGTGAGGAGGAGAAAGGTTTGGAGCTTTGAACCTCCCTGTTCAATAACAGCCCTCCTTCTGCAGACTGAGCTGTGCAGGTTCATTTGCTGATCCATGAGGACTGAGTTATCTCAGTCCAGTTAATCAGCAGGTACTTGAACCTCACTGATTCTGGGGCAAGCGGAATGAGTGAGGAAAAGAAAAAAATGGCTCCTAATTAATGTTCTATTGCAAAATGCACATTTGTGGGGTTTTTATATATTCACGCACAGGATGTGGGCCCTGCTAGTTAGGTCAGCAGTTATTGCCCATCCCTAATTGCCCAGAGGGCATTTAAGAATCAACCATTATTACTGTGCGTCTGGAGTCACATATAGGCCATACCAGATAAGGATGGCAGTTTCCTTCCCTAAAGGACATTAGTGAACCAGATGGGTTTTTCCTGACAATTAACAATGGCTTCATAGTCATCATTATATATAGAATATCTGGAATTAAGGGTCTAGAATATCTGGAATTAAGATATTCTGTCACCAGAATATTAGTGGAGGTTCTGGATTGATAGCCTCGTGATAACATCACTAGGCCATTTCCTCTCCAGTAGGACTATAATGTGTTATTTGCCCTTGAGAGTTAATGTTAAAAGCAGGGTTCAAGTTTGAAGAATGGTGAAGTGCCAAAGGCCTGCTACCTGCCACTGAATCATACATAGCGTATAGAATGGCACAGCACATTTGGATCATTTGTACTTGCAGAGTTTGACCATAAGACATAGGAGCAGAAATTAGGCCACTCAGCCTATCGAGTCTGCTCCGCCATTCAATCATGGCTGATAAGTTTCTCAACCCCATTCTCCCGCTTTCTAGAGCTCTCCAGTTAATCTGGGTTCGGGGGACAAAATTAGGAAAAGGAAGGTTGGACAATTCTAGAAATTTCCTGATCACAAAATGCTCAAGTGTACGGAAATTATTCAAAGGTTTAAGAAAAAACATTGTGAACATAAACATTCTCAGAAAATGAATTACTATTTCTGCCATGCTCACCTGATTCTCTGCTGAGGTGAACGCATCTCAGCTGGCTGTGTCTCCCGGGGCATAACCTTAAGTGGTGGCACCTTCGAACCACTGGACTGCAGCGAGTGATGGGTGGTGACCGCTGGCTGGGTGGTCGCTGAGAGGGGAACAACATTCGAAGGGAAGAGGATGGGAGAGGGGAGATCAGTTACTCTAGAATTAGTTACAGCCACAGGGTAAGGGGTAGAGAAGGCCAAAGGCTTGTTACTTGGTGGAGGATGGGCCAGCGGTGCCTCAGTGAAATTAGTGACTTGAAGGACATGCGGTGCAGCCTTTAGGTGGAGTTCCTTAAAGCTCAGTCCTTCCTCAGAGGAGGAGTCACAGGCAGCAGAGTAGGTGTGAGGCCCAGGTAAGGAGCGACCCTCAATCACTGGCCTACCATTGCTGATAGGCTGGAGGTCAACATTCTGGGCAAAAGGCTCGCTTTTACATGCTGCACCACTGGCTTTTTCTGAAATCTGCCCCCCGTCGGATGGTACAGACAAGGGCGGACAAAGATCAGGTGGAGAATGGTCAGCCAAGTTGGCTTCTTCCCCTCTGGCTCGCCGTTCCTTTTCTGCCTCAAGGGTCACAGGTTCACGGCGTGGAGAAGGCCTGACCCCAATGTTTTGACACACAGCATCGCTGGTTCGGCCATTCTGAGTTTCCACCTCCATACTCCCAGTTAGTGTCTCCTCAGAATCTGTCAGCGTGGAAGGCCCTGCGCTCTCTCCGGCTGCTCCACCCATCTCAGGCTTCAGTTCTATACTACTCCCCAGTGACTTGGTCAAGATAGGACTTGACTTGTGCGGCAGTTCTTCAACAGCTGATATGAAGTCCAGCTCTGTCTGGTCAGTCCGATCAGGCCAGAGCGAGCTGGTCTCCTCTTTCAGAAATTCATTACAATTCTTCTGGACTGTTAGTGGTTTCTCCACTGCCGGTGAGATGGTCTCCAGTGAGTTCACAGCAGCAGTTGTTTTGAATAAAGTGGGTTGTAATTTAACAGGTTGCTTAGCCTGGTGGCCTTCAATTAGCCCCAAAGAAAGAGTTTGATGGAAATCATCCAATTTGTTTGAATTTCCATCATCAATCAATGTGTTTATTCCCTCCAGTGAGAGCATAGAAAGACAGGTCTTATAGTGCTCAACCCCTGTCCTCTCATTTACACTCAACTCAATGGTCCCACAAGAGGCTTCTCCCTTAGTTACCGCATCATTTGATGGTCTAATATTATCCACAAGCTCCTTCACTGCAGACTCCGCGGCAATGGAATCAGTCCGATCAGGATTTACCTCATCAGCAGCTGGGCATGAGACCACAAGGGAGGCCTTTTGTTCAAACTTCTGATCCGACTGCTGCTCTGCTAAGTTTACTGATTGCACTGCAGTTTCTGGGAGGTCAAATGGTAGCTCCTTTTCTCTTTGCTGTTCCTTCACCAAGTGGATCTTCTCTTCCAAACCCAGATTGGTGCACAAAAGCGACCTGGGCGGTTTGGGAGGTGGAGGCCCAATCTGTACAAACAGTGTGTCTGATTTGACAAGGAATTCAGACGTCTCTTTTTCAGCTTCAGTAGTCTCTGGAATCTTCTCTGCACCCTCACAGGGAATGTCTACATCCTGGAATTTGCGCTCCACCGTGACAGCACATTGGTCATCCTTAGAGTACTGTTTGTCATCTCTGCCGAAGAAACCTCGGGAACTGGGTAGACAAACATTGTCTCGGATATTATCGTCGCCATCTTTAAATAAAGGCACAATGTTGGCATTCCTATTCTTGGCATGTATTGTCCCTTCACCATCATCTGTAGTGATTTCTGGTGCAGATACCAATAGCAGAGAATTTCCAAAATGCTGCCAGCCCTCCAGGTGTTTGGCAGTACCCCTTAGGTTTCTGTCATTGTCCTTCAGTGCTGACAGTTTCTCTACATTATGATTATTTGTAATCTTTTCTTGGTGTAAGACACAAGACCTACATTCAGTCTTTGGTTCAAGCTCAGTTTTCAGCTCGGATACAAAGGCATGTCCTTTGTTGAGATCAGCATTTTGACTCATTGGAGGTGGGCCACTACCTTCCACCTTGGATGGCAGCTCAATGGATGGCAAAAGGGTAGTGTCTTGTAGTGAGCAAGTTTTTACATCTAGGGGTTTTGCATTCTCTGCAGTGGCTCCTTTCAGCATTTTATCAGAAGATGCATCGCTCTTGCATTTTGAGTTGGCTTGCAGTCGAGAGGTGTTCATCGAAGTGCTGCCCCTAGAGTTATCGACATGCACTGATGTGGTATTTGGAGATGGAACTGAAGGACCCATTTCCACAGTCTTGTGATCAACTGCTTGCATGAACATGGAGGAACACTCAGCTTCTCCCCTAGACAGCGTTTTCATTTTTCTAGGTTCAAAAGGGGCAGTGGCTTTCAAATCTCCCAGTGACACGATGCCTGTGTGGGCTAATGGTGCATGCATCACTTGACCTTTAACCTCAGCATCAGGTGGCACTACAGGGAAGACAGCTGACCACATGGCTGAATCTGAGCTGACCAGTGGATCCGATGTCTTTGGCCTTTGGAAGGAGCTCGCCTTTTCTCTGGTCATTGTAGAAGCTGGGGCAGGAACTGTGTTGGCAGCAACCTCTTCTTTGGCTATAGATTTTGCCAAGGCGAACAAATTGCTTTCACTGGAATCAGCTGTACTTGAGGAGGGAACCGACACATCAGGTACACCTTGAGACCCAAAGGTTAAACTAGAGAAAGAGGATGTGAACGGAGGAGACTTTAATATCTCATCAGCTAAGAGATCCTCAAAGAAAGGGTTACTCTGTAGTGCATTGAAGAAAGGATTGGTAGTTGGCTTTGAGGATGACGCAGGGACTTCCTCAGCAGTTGTGAAAAGGTTAGTGTTAGTTGCGCAATCTGGTGAGCCAGGATTGGTGAAACTATGAAGAGAATGACGAAGAACAGGCAGAGGACGAACTGGAAGAGGAGGATGCAATGGTAAGCAAGGAAAGAACGAGGGAGCATTTGAATTGGTTTCTACCATAGGAGACACTTCCAAGCTGTGGAGGGAAGACAGAATGTTCCTCCTGGTTAGTGCTATGTCAGGGCCAAACACAGTCATCTTATATTTTCACCTTTCTTTCTGGACAAATCACAATGTCTGATCATATTCAAGTCATTTTTGTTAAACTTTGTGCTGTCTAATATTCTAGAAAATATTTCTCATCACAATGCTTACTTCATGTAGATTTTCAGTCTGTATTTTTTTTGTTTACAATTGTAGTTGAGTGGTAACACCACATGATGGAACATTAAAAGTGAACTAATTAACAGGATGAATAATCCTCTAAGGTTGATTACTTAGAGGCTTAGTTTCTGGGGCCATGGAGAACATGGTGGTTATTAATCGTGTATGGAATTAAATGGTCTGCATTGTACATTATTGAAGGGACTAGAATGAGGTGACTATTATATTAAAAATAGTAACTTGGTTAATGTCTGCCTGGACTGTTTTAATTGTTGATTGATGGAACAGAAATTGTATATCACTGAGAACAGACATTTGTCAAATAAGGACATGAACATTGCCAGGGGCAGGTGGGACTAAGGACTGGAGATTACAGTCAGATCAGCTTTGATCTTAATAAATGACAGAGCAGGCTTGAGCAGACCTGCTCCTAGTTTATATAAAGCATTTCATCCCACACTCCTTGTTTCCCCTGTGCTTTTTTTTAAAATCAGCTATCTGAAATCTGTTTGCTGTGGTTATTGACCTTCCTGTCAGTGGAAACTGTTATCGCTCAAATAAAATCTTAATCTGATATTCCACCCCCCCACCAAACTTTTAACCTGCTCTGATCAATGGAGAACACGCCCCTTGTTTCCTTAAAAAAAACCCACCTTCTTCCTCTTCCGCACTTTCGCCGATGGACTCTTGGAAATTTCTCTCTCAGTTATCCTTTCAGGCAGTGAGTTCCAGACTCACTCTACCCTCCAAGTGAAAAAAATTCTCAACTCCCCCTTATCTTTCTACCCTTTATCTTAAATTGATGCCCCCTAGTTATTAACCCTTCCTAAGCACCCAAGCCATACCCATCTATCAGGTCTCCTCTCAATTCATTCATGGAATGTAGAAATTACTGCCTGGGCCAGCATTTATTGCCCATCTCTAGATGCCCTTGAGAAGGCGGTGGTGAGTTACCTTCTTGAACCGTTGCAGTCCATTTTACGTATGGACATCCACAATGCTGTTAGGGAGGGAGTTCCAGAATTTTGACCCAACAACTCTGAATGAACAACAATATATTTCCAAGTCAAGATGGTAAAGTGGTGTTCCCATGCTTCTGTCCTTCTGGATGGTCGTGGCTGCGGGTTCTGAAGGTACTGTCAAGCCTTGGTGAATTTCTGCAGCACTTCTTATAGATGGTACATAATTATTCTAGTGTGAATCAGTCGTAGAGGGAGTGAATTTCTGTGGATGTAGTGTCAATAAAGTAGACAGCCTTGTCCTGGATGATGTGAAGCTTCTTGAGTATTGTTGGAGCTGTACCCATCCAGGCAAGTGGGGAGTATTCCACGACACTCCTGACTTGTGCCTTGTAGATGATGGGCAGACTTTGGGAAGTCAGGAGGTGACTTACTCGTTGAAGGATTCCTAGCCTCTGACCTGCTGTTGTAGCCAGTGTTTATATGGCTCGTTCAATTCAGTTTCTGTTCAATGGAAACCTGCAGGATGTTGATAATGGGAGATTCAATGATAGGAACAATACTGAATGTCAAAGCCAATAGTTAGATGGTCTCTTGTTGGAGATCATTATTGCCTGGCCCTTGTGTGGCATAAATATTACTTGCTATTTCTCAGCCCAGTCCTTGCAGAATCTAGACTGGACTTAGTATTTGAGGTGCAATTAATGGTGCTGAACATTGTATCATCAATACGCAATCAACACTGCACAGATAAGCTCATTGATGAAGCAGCCGAAGACTGCTGGGCCTTGGACACTACCTTAAGAACTGGGGCTCTTGTGATGCAGTGGTAGTGTCTCTGTCTTTGAGCCAGGAGGCCTGGTATTCAAGCTCCACCTACTCCAGAGATGTATAGCAACATCTCCGAACAAGTTGATTAGAAAATATCTACCTTCAGGGACTCCTCCAGAAATGTCCTGTGGCTGAGATAACTGATCTTCAACAACCACAATCATCTTCGCTGCGCCAGGTATGACTCCATGCAGCAGTTTTCCCTCTGATTCCTCTGACTTTGTCAGGGCTCCTTGATGCCACACATGGTCGAATGCAGCCTTAATGTCAAGGGCTGTCACTTTCACCTCTCCTCTGGAATTCAGCTCTTTTATCCATGTTTGAACCAAGGCTGTAATGAGGTCAGGAGCTGAGTGGCCCTGGCAGAATCCAAACTGGGCGTCACTGAGCAGGTTATTGCTGAGCAGGTGCTGCTTGATAGCACTGTTGATGACACCTTCCATCACTTCACTGAGGATCGAGAGGACACTGATGGGGCGGTAATTGGCCGGGTTGGATTTGTCCTGCTTTTTGTGTACAGGACATACCTGGCCAGCTTTCCATATTGTCAGGTAGATGCCAAAGTTTTAGCTTTACTGGAAAAGCTTGGCTACGGGTGCATCAAGTTCTGGAGCACAAGTCTTCAGTCTTGTTGCTGAATGTTGTCAGGGCCCATAACCTTTGCATTTCCTTGCTAACAAATGGAATGATTTGAATTGACTGAAGACTGGGATCTGAAATGGACCATCAACTCAGCAATTCTGGCTGATGATTGTTGCATATGCTTCAGCCTTGTGTTTTGCACTGAATGTGCTGGGCTCATCCATTTGAGGATGAGAATGTTGTGGATCCTTCTCCTCCTCCATTCAGTTGTTTAATTGTCCACCATCATTCACGACTGGATGTGGCAGGTCTGTAGAGCTTACATCTGATCCGTTGGTTGTGAAATCACTTAGCTATGTTTATCACTTGCTACTTATGTTGTTTGGCGTGCAAGTAGTCCTGTGTTGTAGCTTTGCTTGGATTGACACTAGTTTTGCAGCGAAGAACATGGGTATAACAGTTTTTCAGTAAGAGATACAGATTATTTCAGAGTGCAACATAGGCGTCTGGGATATATCAGTGTCACGGTGTGGAATGTGCAGCACCCGTCTTGCTCCGCATTTAAATCCTCCAAACTTCAAATCAATGCAGATGCTAGATCACAAAGTATTTAAAGGGGAGAAAGATAGATGTTTGAAATTTTGAGGAACTGAGTGCTTTGTGGAACTTTCACAAAAGAGGAATTGAGGCCTGGAGGAGATCAGTATGGTGTTACAGGATGGCAGGGCAGGCTACAGAGACCAAATTTCCTATTATTGCTCCTATTTCATTTGTTACCACCCGAGCAGCATGCCAACTCTTACCAAAGTCACGAATGATATTCTGACAGACTGTGAGAAAGATAAACTTTCCCTCATTGTTCTTCTTGACCTATCTGCAGCCTTTGACATGGTGACAACACCATCCTCCTCCAACCCTTTCCACTGTTATCCACCCAGCTGGGACTGCTTTCAATCTTATCACTCTACAGCTAGAGAATCATTCACAATGATTTCACTTTCTGCTCACACACTGTCACCTCTGGTCTCCCCCAAGGATCAATATTGGCCCTGTGCTGGGTCTACAGTTATTTACAACATAAAGTAATGACTTGGAAAATGAACATATTAAGGTCATGTTTGTGGACAGCGCAACAATAGGTGGAAAGGCGAGTGATAAGGTCAACACAAAGAGCCTACAAAGGATAAAGACAAGTTAATTGAGTGGGCAAAAACCTGGCAGATGGAATAGAATGTAAAAATTGAGGTTATGCACTTTGACATGAAAAACAGTGGAGCTGAGTTTTATTTAGAAGAAATACAGCAGAAAGCTACGGAACAGAAGAATTTGGGAGTCTTCCTGTAGCAATCACAAAAAGCTAACATACAGGTTCAGCAGGTAATGAGAAAGGCAAATGGAATGTTAGCCTCTATTTCAAAAGGTTTTGTGAAAACTATACAAGGCATTAGTCAGACCAAGGCTAGAATATTGTGAACAGTTTTGGGCCTCTTAGCTAAGGAAAAGAAACAGGTACTGGAGACAGTCCAGGGAATGTTCATTAGGTTGATCCCAGGTATGGGGAGTGGGGGGAGGGGGAACTATCTTGACAAGAGATGTTGAGTAGATTGGGCCTGTACTTGTTGGAGTTTAGAAGAACGAGAGGCAACTTTATTGAAACCTACAGGAGTTGGGATGTACTGTTGAGATCGTACAAGATATTGGTGAGGCCTCTTCTGGAGTACCGTGTACAGTTCTGGTGGCCCTGCTATTGAAAGGATGTTATTAAATTGGAGAAGGTTCAGAAAAGATTTACCAGAATGTTAGATAACAAGGTGCAGAGCTGGATGAACACAGCAGGCCAAGCAGCATCAGAGGAGCAGGAAGGCTGACGTTTCGGGCCTAGACCCATTTCTGAAGAAGGATCGAGGCCCGAAACATCAGCCTTCCTGCTCCTATGATGCTGCTTGGCCTGCTGTGTTCATCCAGCTCTACACCTTGATATCCCAGATTCTCCAGCATCTGCAGTTCCAACTATCTCTTTACCAGAATGTTGCCAGGTTGGAGGGTTTGAATTATAAGGAGACGCTGGATAGGCTGGGCCTATTTCCACTGTAGTGCAGGAGGTTGGGTGTGGCCTTATAGAAGTTTATAAAATTGTGAGTGGCATAGATAAGGTAAATAGCAAAGGAAGTTTCCCTAGGATGGAGGAGTTCAAAACTAGGGAGCATTTTTTAGAGAGAAAGATTTAAACTTTTTCAGAGCCGGTAGTTCATATGTAGAATTAACTGCCAGAGGAAGTGGTAGATGCAGGTACAGTTATAACATTTAAAAGACATTTGGGTAGGTACGTGAATAGGAAGGGTTTAAGAGGGATATGGGCCCGGAGCAGGCAAGTGGGACTAGTTTAGTTTGGGAAATTTGGCCAGCATGGACAAGTTGGACTGAAGGGTCAGTTTTCATG